CGACGAGTGACATCTTGATAGACTGTTGCACCTGTTGGTTGTTGTATATTTTTCAACTGATCAACGATCATCTTAATTTCGGTTCAAATTTAAATAGAACTGTTTTACAACCCAAAGCTTTCTTCCAATCGCTAGCGGCAACTATCGCCATAGTCATCTCCAACTTAGAGAGACGTAGATAGAGCTTTCATTGGACACTCGGAGTAACCGTTCTGTTTTCTTGTGTATCTCTATACTCACGCCTTAGTTGTTTTCGTTACACTCTCTCAGTGAGTTCTCTGTCCACGATTAGATTTATGTGCTTCATTAGTCTTTTATCTCTGCTATTCATTCTCTTTGGTTTTTCTTTGCTATTTCATTATATCGTCTTATTCCTCATTTTATTAGACACAATACAGTAGTGTGCGAGTACAGATCTCTTAGCTTTCTGCGCTTTGGTGTGTGTCCTCGCCTTCGCAGATCGTGGCGTTTCTGCTATCTCTTTCTGTTTCTTAGCCGGGAACAGCGATCATCGAGATCAAGAGTCCGACATCAATGACTATCCTATGTTTCATTACACACACATACCATGACCAGTGTTTTTAATGATTAGTGGGTGTCGCTTGAACAAAATGGGTTTCCACTTTGAAAATTCGATTTCCACTTTGTTTTTAGCAGGGAAAAAATGGAAAATGCGGTGGTAAACTGTGGAAACCCACTTTGCTTAAAATTCCTATTAGAAACACTGACCATGACACTCTAGTATAATACCAAGTAAGACGACAACAACTTTTCGTAGATTAAGCCTATTAAAAGCCGATGTTATTCATTATACAGACAACAACAATCTTTCTACGGATAATAAACTGAAAAATACTTGTTTCACCATTACAGAAAAGTTGCAAAAAGGATACAAACACAAAATACATATACTTTTTGCAGTTTTTCTGCAACGGTAAAACAAGTATTTTTTCGTTTGTTATCCGTAGAAGGATTGCTGTTGTCAGTAATGAAATAACATGTCAGAAAGAAAAACAGCTTTTGCATTTCCTAAAAACGTTTTTTTTATAAAATGCTTTTATCTTCGTTTTTCAATGATTCATTTCAGAACAAGAAAAAGAACACAGATTACTTTTTACAGTTTTCTAAAACAGTGAAACGTGCATGTTACTTTTTTTTGGCGTATAAAGGCCTAATTTAGAATACAAGACAGCCAGTGATATATGCACAACTTTGCCTTCGATCGACGCTACACATCATGAATAACAGAACAGAATGGCTTGAGAGAATTCTTGAGAGTAGTTAGCAACAAGAAAATCACTATTGAAATGCTGGAAAATAAAACGCGTTTTACTTAACACAATTTTGGAATTGTAGATATGTTTTTCCTGAAAATACGCGTTTACGTGATTTAAAGGAAACGCGTCTGAACTATAATTAACCCAGAAAATAAAAACACTGGGTGAGACTAAAAGAACTTTTGGCTGTACGAGCCTTTCGGACAAGAATTTAAAAGATCTAGGAAATATCGCGGATTAGATCTCAATTGTCTTAGTTGCATAAAAAAACATGGAAAAGATCTCGATTTTTAAAAATAAATATTTTTATATCAAAATCATGGTATGGATCTTGGAAAAAATATGCAGCAGATCTCAATTCAGTTAATTGGATGGAAAACATCGAAGAGATCTCGTTTTTTTTTCGTATAGAAATTTATAGCTAACACAGGCCTCATATAGATTACTTTTATGATAAAATATTAAGAAATTTCCTGTTTCATCTATTTACAAAAGCACCACGAGGAATCAATTTATAAGTTTAGGAGAATTTGTAACAAATAAATATGAACAGTGAAATAAAGATATTATACGATGACGATGATGATATACGACGACTCACATTGTTAAGAATTTGAGAAGAACAACTTCTCATTTTTCATTTTCTGCAGTGTCGTATTTAAAGTGTTTCTGTCGTGAAACAAAACAGTGAATACATTATCCGTACTGGAAAGAAAAAAAAATAAAGTGCACATCACAAGATTCGTCGATTTGTGGTCACTGGAAATTAACGGATCCACCTGGTTCCGGATATCTCCGGATCCTCCAGAAAGAAACTATCGGAATGCGAAGGAATTGAGCAGATTCCGATCTCCGGAAATCACCGGAATTAAAAGGATCCGATCTGGCGAATTCGACCTGGGAACAGCTGAGGGAAAAGACGAACGCAAAGATTAGTGTTTGATTGAACCTCAAAATCAACCTATTTTAGGTTAAAAAGTCGATAAAAGAAGGGGGTCTTCTAACGTGGTTTTTGCGTTATGAGTTCAAGAGGGATCTTGTAACAGGGGAGTCCTCTTTTGCGTCCATCCCTTTAAGTACACTTCTGCACAAAAAAAGTCGAGATCTCTTCCATGTTTTCCATCCAATTAACTGAATTGAGATCTGTTGCATATTTTTTCCAAGATCCATACCATGATTTTGAAATAAAAATATTTATTTTTAAAAATTGAAATCTTTTCCATGTTTTTTTATGCAACTAAGACAATTGAGATCTAATCCGCCATATTTCCGAGATCTTTTCTCGTTTTGTCCGAGCCTTTCTATGAAACGAAAATATTTTTTTCTGGTCGAAAATAAAAAGTACGATAGTGTAAACGTTTCGGGCGCTATCCTTCATTTAAAAGCGTGACACGACATTACCACGAACAGGACCCCGAGTCCGCTGCGAATATTTCATATTTGGATATTTTTGGCAGTGCATCGAGGGAAGTGGTAGTGTGGACAGTGTGGGAGTGAGTACAAAAAGTAGTTTCACAGAAACATATTTTCAAGATGCGTAACTGTATATCTATAACTATATCACATAATGACTATTCATCACGTTACTTCATTCAGATTCCAAAACATGATATACAAAATACAAAACCAGGCTCATTTATTCTTCTTTTCCGATAAACAAGTTTTTGCGAAAGTGTTCCGCCACCCATGGTTAGATCGCTTTACATTCTTGTCCAACAAAAATACAGTAGAAACTACTGGTAAAAAGTCCAACAAGAATACAGCTGGTACAAAGAATTATTTTTGTATGTGCGACCAAGTGAGCGTATGATGCCATCAACGGTGGCTGCCACTTTTCAAATGTTCATCTTAGTCAAAAAATTCGGCGAAAGCGCCTTTTTCTGCCAACGGCCACAGATCGTTCTTTTTCATAAAAAAATTCATAAATTGATTAATCTGTATTTTACAGTTTTGTCATTCTATATCTATTTGTCCGTTTTGCTAGGGGAGAGCACGAAAGGAGGTGTTCTATCTATATTTTTAACGATTTTATGTTTGCAGACGTTTTTTTGATCTGATCATGTAAAATAGATTCTCTATTTTTTTACTATCTATCACATTGTAACTGACTATCATACTTTGGGATGATTTTATATTTAATGCTTTATAGTGGGTAAATAGTATTCTGCTTGTTGAAACATAAAAACTAGAATAATTCAACTTTCTTTATTTTGATAGTTTCAAACAATTATTGCAGTAGATCAAAGAGAGGGAAAACTTTTCGAGAAAGGGTAGACAGGATAACTTAACTGAATTTTTTTGAGTCTGTTCGGTAGACACTGTGCGCAGCTTTAGGAAAAATGTGACATCCAGATAGCGTACGTACTTTACTAATAGTTACTTAATAAAAGTCGAATCATTATAGTTTGATTATGTTGAAATTTCTACCAACTCATTTTGCTATAGGTGTGAAACTATAAAAGGCGGCTAGAGCTTATCTGATTCGGATGCTTCTTAGGAGTTATTTGAGTTTTCAAAAATAAATTAGAAATCAAGATTTTATTTAAATTTCTTCTTGCTCCCTGATCTCTAAAAACGCCATCCCGATAAAGTAGGAAATGTTTTGTCAATGTATCCTTATGAATAATAATCTTATGAATATGTCGGAGTTGAGATTGGTATCTAGTAGAATTCGGAATTCACCTAGGTGAGAATAGAATTCTAATTTCAACTGATTGAGATTGGAATTCTAACATCAACTAGTTGTGATACGAATGGTGCCTAACTGAACTAGTTGAAGTTAGAATTCTAAACCAAACTGGATGAGATCGGAATTCTAATGTGAACTGACAAACTGGACTAGTTGAGTTCAGAATTTAAATTCATGCGAAGAAATTGTATAGGAAAGGGACAAGGAAAAAATGTGACGTGCAGAGAAAAAGAAAGGGAAAGATTTTTCTTCTAGTGATATTGTACAGTACAGTATCAATTTTCTTTTGCATAAAGCATATTGTGTCACATCAGTCTTTTTTAATTCAATTTATTTTGCATAATGCAAGACTTCCATAATAAGCTTGAGTGTTATATTTCGACTCTTCATCCAAATAAGCGTGCAAAATATACAATAAGATACACAACGCACGATCAAATATTACAGGTGCTGAAATCTGATGAATATAAAGCACCTAGTGCAAAATTTAAATTTTGGGTGAAAGAGCATTTTTATCTTGTTAAAATCGTTGATGTTGATGTGATTTACTCAACAAAACATAAACTACCAGTGGTAGTTCATGAAGATTTATATGAAAAGATCAAAGAGTGTCATACAAGGGTTGGTTACCTCGGAAGAGATAAGACGAAGAATTTGAATAAAAATAAGCACATACATATTCTAGTACTTTATGAGAACAATGCAACATGAATTTAAATTTTGAACTCAGTTAGTCCAGTTTGTCAGTTCACATTGGAATCTCATCCAGTTTGGTTTAGAATTCTAACTTCAACTAGTTCAGTTAGGCACCATTCGTATCACAACTAGTTGACATTAGAATTCCAATCTCAATCAGTTGAAATTAGAATTCTATTCTTACCTAGGTGAATTCCGAATTCCTCCAGATTCCAATCTCAACTCTGACAAATATACATCATTGATTATTAAGTTGTTCAACGTATATTTTCATGATGTTTTCTAGGTTTACTCTGACAATGAACTTAGGCAATCAAGTAGATCATTATCCTAGTACCATGTCACCAGTGCAGGGCATGGTCAAATATTTTACGGCTGTATCTAATCGTGATATTGTTGCATTAATGGAATGTTTTGCATCCAATGCTGTCGTTCTCACAGGCACAATCACATTAACGACTAAATCTGATATTGAATCGTATTATCAAAACGGAACATTATCATCAAGTAATCCTTATTTCTTTCCCATACCACATTATTTATTCGTATCAAATTCCACGATTGCAGTAGAAATTGAACTGCATTTAAATCCCACTCACACAAGACTCGTTGGTGATTGGTTTACATGTAAGTGTTCCATTAACGAAATGGTTATGCTTGTATCTTATAAACCATTTTAATTAAGTCGATTCTGCTGGCAAGATCAGGCGCCTAACCATCTATGATGGTCCACATTGGTATCCGTTAGCTGATTCAGCTAAGCCATTAGTATTAAGTGAAATAGAAAATACATTAGTACATGATACATGTTTAGAATTACGGCAACAATCACCAATGGCACTTATTTCACATCGTACATTACAACGTTATGTCAGTGCACTACAAACACGTAATCTAGAACAGCTGATGTTGATTTTTGATTTAAATGCACAAATAATTACTTCAACTAACGTATATACTACTCAAGATGAAATAAAACAATTTTATGTTAATGGTATACTGCATATTTCAAATACACATTTCTCTCTTCGACTATCAGAATTGTTCATCTATGATGATCAAATTGCTGTTGAAATCCGATTTAAAATATTCCCAACACAAAAGAAATATGTTGCAGATTTTTTTACATGTAAGTATATCTTCAAAAGCCCGATTAATATTCGCGATCTAAGCTCTTTTCTTTTCCGATACAAATATAGTTAATCGTGATGGTTATATTATTCGCTTAAATGAATACGATGGACAAACAGTTGATTCTACACAATCATTCACCACACAAAAAGAGCACAGGTAGTAATATTTACTTTTCTTAAAGAGATATAGTTTCTTGTTACGATCGTTGAATTATGCTGTTGAATAAAATGAATATACATCTTTCAATTGCACTTGACGCATTTGTATTAAGGGAAAGCATTCTTCCAAAGCTCTTCTTCACAAACTCCATCCTATCACAGCCAAACTTTCAGGTCATAAAAGTCATTATACAAAATGATTATGCTAACAACTTTATCCAGTCGTCGTATAAGTCTTCGTGAGTTATTAACGGTCTCCCTCTTTTGAGTCTTTCCGCAGAAATGCCGTCAGATTAAAACTGAAAATGACTAAGGCATCATGGTTTTAGAATTTTTTGAAGACTGAACGAAGCATCTTTTATTTCAAGTCTCTAGATATTAATGTTCACGAGTCTTCCATAAAACTTGGGTTTTCATTGTGTGGCATTACGACTTACATAAATTTCATCCGATTAAGCTCAAAATTTTACCAGATGCGCGCTATTGCAGAGGGATCCTTTTTTAATTTTTAGTTAGATCTTTTCTTCTTGAGTCATTCATAGAAGCAATAATTTTTCAGTTTTAAAACGCCTATAACTCGGCAGGAGAAGATTTAACCAAAAACTGCAGCAAAATACCTGCAATAACGCTTCAAGCAATGCTTTTGCTCTTCGGAACGTTTTCCCGCATCCTACGAAAAAGTCTCGTCCGAACGCGTTCAACCAGTGCTTTTTCAGGTAATTACGAAATTCGTGCCTTTTGCCTTCAAACTGCGCTCCTGATTAGAATCTGGTCATTTGTATATATTATTCAGTTTTGTATTTACCAATATGTACATCATTGTCCTTCGTGATCTGCGCCTCTCTCTCTCTAGTTTTGATTCATTCTCTCCCTTTCTCTTGTGACTAAATATGTCCTTGCAAACGTCACTTCGACTGTATTGTATGCATGATCATTTTGAAATAAAAACGTTATAATTGCTCAGTTGATCTTTTCTATTGAATTTTATCAACTGTTTTCAAATTTAAAATTGTAGTATACATTTTAATAATTGCAACTATAATT